GTGAAATGGTATATATTATTCTATAATTAACTGGATAATGGTTTTGAATTGAAATTACTGAAGTATTATATGAACTATTCTGCAATTACCTCGCTTTTGGTTTTGGATATTAAATTGCTGTACTATTTATCATAGTCTGTAATTGTTTCATGGTTTTGAATTTTAATTGCTGGATTAATTTATATTCTGTCAATTACGTGGATATGGAGGATTGTATGCACCGGTATGGGACGGTGTCATACTAGGGATGGTTTAGCTCAAAACGCATAAACCTAACCTATTGGATTAAAGGAAAGGATTGTAAAATATTGAATCCTAATTTTGTTTAAGTCAGATCAACTGAGTAAGTTGAGTGACCATTTGGATTTACTGTTGTTTGGAGTTAACTCATATCAACTAAATAAGTTGAGTGGTTAACTGATTATACGTCTTATGTCAGATCAACAAAGAAATTGAATGACATACTCTGGTTTGAACGGATTGTAAATATATGATTATGGTACCGCGAGATGAGCTTGAGTCTCAGACTCGTTGGTTAGGGTGCGTATATGCAGTGGATGCGTAGCTGGTTATTGTAGGTTGAGGTGTACCCTATTAGGTCTAGGTACTCAAGCCCAATTTTGGGTGCGTTTTTGCATGTTGCCTTCTATTCAGGTTGAGACCCCTTACATAGTCCAATGAATGTCCCTTAGTGTGGATATTTATATATGTATGGACTAGATAGCTATTACTGAGATATCTAGGGTGTATCTGCATATCGGGTCACTTTCTGGATTGCAGTTATGATAGAACTTGCATGTGGGCCTGACCCACTCTTATTTTTACAGGTGTTCATCAGTTCCAGGCTTAGAGCTTAATCGTGCTGAGCAGATACAGTTATTCACTCCACCGACGACGTAGGAGTATTTTCTTCTCATTATGACCATTGGTTTTCTTTGTAGTTGTTCATGTTCAGTGTTGGAATATTTTTAGTAGGGGTCCACGAGATGGATTCCCGAGTTGTATTAGAAGTAAAGGAGAAGTTGGTGTATTTAAACTAGATCTTGCATATAAAGTTTATTCGGAGGTTTTTTCCATTAAAGGATTTTCATTTTAGTTCTTTCAGCAAAATTTTATTCATTCCTGTTTCCTATATTGTATTCTGTGTTCGTTAAATTGCTAATTGATTTGATATCCTTGGGTTATCGGGCATGGGCCTGGCCAACCCGCATCCGGAAATCCGGGGGTATCACAGGCATTAAGGTCTAAGTTACATTTTTTTAGGGTGAGTAGTTGAAGGATTTCAAAATTCAAAAAGAGTAATAACTAGGATGGTGAGGTTTGACAGCTTTTAGCCGTAAATGGATAGAATTTCCTTTGAGATTCAGGATCATTAATGGAAGGGATTGTTTGTAGAGGAAGCCGAGGGAACAACCACGTGTGATAGGGATTGTTTCTTTTAAATGATTATTTCGAGTTTTCCAAAAGTCCAAAGGCGTGTTAACAGGAAGTTGGGTATAAGTTTTAAAATTTGAAAAAGGAAAGTCAAGAGATTTTTATGGGGAATCGTCTTTTGGGGGCGTTTGATACTTAGAGGGGTTGGTGATTGGAGGTAATTAATATAGTAGGTGCTAAGGGGATTAATTGTGTTTAGTATTGAAAGGTTAAAAACCATGATGGTGGTATGTTAATGGCGGAATTCAAATCCCACACCTTATTTTCAGGAAGACCCACAAGGCATGGAATTTGGGGGGCATATGTTTATTCCATTATTTTGCCCAATGGAAAGAAGACAAGTGGTGAGTTTTAACAAACTTGCCATATTGATTTAGCATTCCAATAATCCAAGAATATGAGGATGTGACGTGGAATTGTTAAGGTGGATTATTAATCGAAAGAAGTAACATGGCAAGTTTTAATAGAACTTGCCATGTTAGAGTAAGATATTAATAAACATTCCTTTGGAATATTAATTCTACAGGAAATTAAATGGAGTGGTGAGTCCCGCTAGGACTTACCAAACTTAGGATATAAAGTCGTAAAAGAATGAGAAGATTGCATGAAGATATTACCATGAGTGCAACTTCATGAGAAGGCTAAAGTCAAAGATTCAAACAACCAATAGTTTATTGACACATGACGAGTTTTATTAGACTTGCCACGGTAGATTATTCTGTTTGAATTTATTTGGAAGATCCTATTAGTATAAAATACCAATTAAATGGGAATTTTCCATTTTTAGAACAAAGTTGACCAAGTCACAAGAGGGAATGTGGAGGCAATATTTCTCCTTATTTTTATGAGACATCAGTAACTGCTCAAGCCAGGTCAACCTTTTTGCTAAAATTCAGCAGAACGTGGGAATTTAGTTTATTTATTTAAATATATATATATATATATATATATAAGTATATATATATATATATTTGACCCACGATGGAGTAATTTTCGTAAGCCCATGATGCCTTGAATTCTAATGAGGTGAGATTGAAGAGAGATTGCTAGAATTTGGGAAGTGCATCACAACCATGACACCATGAAGCAAATATGGAGGTTTTAACCTGATGTCAAGGAAAGCGTGGTTTGTTGAAGGAAAGAAAATAGGTTGGATAAACTACCTATGATGAAGAAGTTGCTAAGGTTAAGGAGATCAAGGCGACATGAACTCCAAAGCCTAGAAGGAAAGTCTCAAGATAGAAGTTACTAAAATCCAAGGGAATGTGGTTGGCAGAAGATCGTGGGATGTATATTCCTGGATATAGATATATATATATATATCTTGCCCATGAAGAGAAATACCGCTGAAGTTTTGGGGCCACGACATCATGATATAAAGACCAGAATGGAAAGCTCAACTAGAAGGAAGTTACCCAAAGCTAGGAGAACGTGGTCTACAAAAAACTTCCTTATATGTGCATGATATATATTCATAAGGAGGGTTCTAACAGAAGTGAAAGACTACTAGAAGTCATGGGACACTTGGCTAAACTTGAATATATCGGTTGAAAGTGGTGGAAACCTATAAGGAAACTACCACTAACCAAGGGAAGTTATCAAGAATCATGAATGATAAGGCAACAGTTGGTGAAATTATGTCTGAAATTAAGGAAAAGAGTTGACGACATGGGGAAGAAGGACAAAGACATGGGACACTTGTTGAATGATAAAGAGAACACGTGGGAATTCGTTCTGAAACTACCCATGACGCAAATTCGTTGAAGACTAGAGAGGACATGGTTGAAGTCTACAACAGAAGATGGATAAGATGGAAGAAGTTATAATCGCTGAGGAATCATGGGACATGTGGCAGTTTGGAACCATTTCACGTGGAAGCTACTGAAGTTGCCACACCTAGTTAATGCATGCATGGAGCTCTATAAATAGAACACTTAGAGCTAGTTTGCAAACCCTGTTCAAATCACACAACAAAACAACACTTCAATATCTTTACATTTATGTATCTTTACATTCATGTAATGCACCTTCAATATGTTTAATTTAAGTCCTGCACTTATTATTCCTACTTTCCAGCACTTTACTTTGAAGTCCTGCACTTTCAATACCGCTTTCCTTTCCACTAATCATAATTCAGTCCAATAGTCCTTTTTCAAGGCAAAAAGAACCCTTGAAGGTGGTAATTCTAGTCCTTCATTCAATCACCTATTCCCTACAATTTCCTACTGGATAGTTGTTCGGATATCCACTTTGGAACGACAGTAGTTCGTGGCACGCCCGACATCCACTCCTACTTCCACTCACCTGGAAAGTGGAACTAGCGTTTTTTCGCGAGCCGAACAATAAATATTACATTTTTGCTCTCGATTATCTTCTACATATAATATCGCTATACGAAATACTATATATATAATATCTAACATAATATAAACACATATATAAAATTACGTATTTTGATCACCAAAAAGTAATATATCAATTTCACAATGAATATTAATGTCAAATCATAAAAATACCAAAATAAAAACATAAAACGTGTGTAAAATAGTACATAGGAAATAATTCTATTCATGAAATAATTATGTTACCTTCCAGCTGGTATGAATTCAATTTTCACTCGACTATTTTAATTCAAGTTCCTTAATATATAATTGATATATTGTCACGTTTGTTTGTATAAGAGATGATTAAAACCTACCGTGTTCTCATCCAACTATTACATATAAAATATTTTCTTATAAATTTACACTGTAAGCACAAATAAAAAATTGTGTAGATGACTTACCCAAAAAAAAAAAAAAAATTGTGTAGATAAAATTGACAGTAAGATGAAATAAAATAATATGAAATGAATGAATTATAAAAATAAAATATTTTTGAAAAGGAGGTTATAATTTATGCCCAAATCATTTCATTTTATTTATTGTAGTTTTACATCATGACCATTGTGAAAGGGGGTTGCATTGCATCAACCATATAGTGTGTATTTTATTTATATTTTGTTAATAATATTTGAATTTGAGAAGAAAAGAGCAAATATCAGTTGGAACTTTTTAGATATTGGATTAAACTAAAAACAAAAATTCATTTATAACAGGATAGAGACTTGACATGTTTAATCTGTTATATAACCAAGAAGACTATATTTGTTTTAGGGATTTGTACTATCTTGTAACTAGGCGAATGGTGAGAACATGAGTTTGCTCTCAAGATTCAAAATTATTTGAGGGTAAAATTGACATTAATAAAATATTTTAAACCTAAAATCGCTTAAAATTTTGGCATGTTTTAAACCGTACAAAATAGTTTAAGTGGTAGACTAAATCGTAAACAAATACACTTATTTTCATAAATCCGCCTGCTAAACAACGTTATCAAACATGCCTTAAGACTCGGAGTTACCTTGTGTATGGAGTTACCAAACATATATCATGCCTTAAGACTAGGAGTTACCAAACATATATCATGCCTTAAGACTACGAGTTACCTTGTGAAGGAGTTACCAAACATATATTCAAAGCAGGTTCATTTTGTTTATAATGATATTTGAGTAGGATTTGAAAAACTTAGTTGTTCAGAGCTTCTGAAATAAGAACGTAATGAACAATTGTAACGCCACTGTAATCTTGATGGAACTCCAAATTTCCTCTCCAAAATATACATCCAGTGCCACTACTACTAAAACCAGAACTCCTAAAACCAATACAATCACAATCATTCCAACATATATCCCTACAATCACTGAGACTAAGGCTCTGATTATCGTCAACATGTGATGCTTTACCAGTATCACCAAAGTACCCAGATCTTGCATTGAACTTCTGGTGCCGATTCCTGCACTTGGGCTGCTCCCATAGCTCGCATCCACCATTGACTTTCGATATTTTGGTGTTGTAACCATAACAAAGATTGACTTGAGCAATCGAAGTCATATCTTGGTCATATATTCGCCCCTGGTAATCTAACACCCATCCCGATTTAACTCTTCGACCCCCAGGCATAAACTCATGATCTTTCACAAGTGAATAAGTAAAGTATTCCTCTTCCTCATTTGTAACACTGGTGAAATCGTACTTGATATTCATAGGATCAGTTTTAGGCATAAATTCAAATGCCTTATCCTTGGACACCCCACTAGTCCAATAAATCACTCCTCGCCGCCTAACTACCAATCGATGTCCCCTAGGATCCCATTCAAGACTGAAAGGCCCTGAAGCTAGTTCATTTTCAGCGAACCAAGATGTAAGAGTCCAGTTCTTGCCGGTCCTGTGGTTGACTCCTAATTTCATCCCAGGTAGAAGTGTGTCAGTGGGATAGTCAAAGCTTTCCCAAAATGGCTGCTTTGTTGATCCATAGGAATTTTCCTCACTCACTACAAAATTTCCTGAATCCAACAAAGTTGCAGTTATGTTAATGTTGTCGGATTCACTCTCATACAACCGAATAGGGTCCCCTGCATTGTTTGTAACAATCAGTTTTCCTGCTTTATCTATGAAGAGAACACCAGAATTGTCATATAAAGGCGTGTTTCTGTTGGCAACCCACATCGGCTGGAACGGGATATCGGTGTACCATATTCCCAAGTACCTTTTGTTGGAATCCATAGGCTTAAAGAATCCCAAGGTGAAGATTTTATTTGAAGAAACAAGGAAAGTGGAAGAGTTTAGCATATCACCTTGTTTGAGTGTGTCTGATGATGCATCAAGGCAGGCCAAGAGGGACACGAAAATGAGAGAAAATTATGAAAATGGAACTTTTCTTTGATCTAAGCATGATAAACAAGAATAGAACAGTGAAGCTAGGTGAATGAGATTTGAGATGACTTGCTATGAGTTATGGCATGCATGCACATGTACTCTGATAAATTAATCTATTGACTTGATCAAAGATTGGTGGTCCAGCATCTGATTTAGTGCACTATGTAATTTAATTCCTTCTTGTTACTCTGCAGATAGGTGTGCTTCAAATAGCATTCATCGTACACCATGCATTGACAGTGGAATAGCCCACAATGTCTAATTAATTACTTGAATATCAAGCCCATTGATAATTCCTTGGACCATTAAGCAACACATTGGAAAAGTCACAAGGAGTAACAAGTCTGTGTTATAAAGGGGCATCAACCTAAAAAAAGCAACACATTGGAAAAGTCACAAGGAGTTACAAGTCTGTGTTATAAAGGGACATCTACCTAAAAATTTGATGTGTATTTTTTCCTTCTAAAAAGTCAACAAAATAATTAATTAAGAACCAACCAGACAACTAACACTGTCAATGAAGAAAAATATATCATCAATGTTTCGTGAGAAGACCGGTATCACATTTTTGTCAACATGCTCCACGGTCATTGACTCCCAAAATAATGGTCCCAAAACTCTCAAAACATTTTAATTGGTGCCTCAAGTATACCGAACTTTGATTCAGGCTCACACCTTATCGTTCTACCAAAAATCAATTACTGACGATCTTTGACTTTGCGACTCCCCCGTCCAACAACTCTCGACATCAGGCTTACTCTTGATCTTTATAGAAGAGTTACAGGTAGATCAAACTACGAATGCTTTGACCCCTTCAAAGTGTGATCGCTCACCATTTTTCTTCTAAATCTGAATTTGACGAAGAACAAATAAATTATACTTTTCTAGAATTTCTGAATCTTCAATTATGCTCTTCTAGAATTTCTGAATCTTCAATTATGCTCCAATTCTGATGAGATAGAGAACAACACTCCTAAATCACTCTTGTGTTTATGTGTGTGCTCTCGAAAATAAAATCAGAAAAATCAGATTAATATTCTGAATAAAAATATCTCTAAAAATGGCTCCCTAATAGATCTGAATTTTGTATACAAAAGTTGTGTTTAGGCTTAGATGACTATCATAGTTTATATAGAGTTTAGAATGTCCTAATCCCTCTGAAAATATAGAAAATTTCGTGCATAGGACTTGGAAGGAAGTTCGGTTCAAAAAGTAAACAATCAGGAAAAAGGAAACTGAAAGTTCTGATGTTACCAGGACTTCTTGAACCGGTTCAACCAACCCCTTGAACCGATTCAAGATGGCCAGCCTTGAATTCTGTTGAAGTTGAATAGTTTAGCCCCGTTGAACTAGTTTAAGATGGACAAAATGTAAATTATTTCTTAAAAACTTCCAAAACCCTTTCTAAATATCCTCACTGCCTCTCAAAACTTCCTAAGGCATTGTTTTCATCACCTTGGAGTGTAGTATACCACGAACACTTGAACTTCTTCAAATCCGCATCCAATTTTCAATCTTTGAAATTTTGAACCGAAAAATTACAACTCGATCGGACTTATTTTGACAATTAAATTAGCCAATATACAAAATATATATTTTTTACAATCTCCCCAAAATATATATCTCACAATCTTCCCCTTTGGCAATTTCGTGACAAAATCTTAAAAACAACATGTAATCTACCCAAGCAGAAAAAACAAATTACAATGATTGTCAAAGAAATAAAACGGAACTCTTATTGAATATCATGAAGCTTCAACACATGTAGCAACCTATAATCTGCACATTAGCTCAACAAAACTACCCGTGAAGCTTAATCAAGAAAGATAAACAATACACATATATCAGTATTTAAATATCAATATATATATATATATATATATATATATATCTCCCTCAATTTTAGCAACTCACCCCCTCAAATATGCACACTTCTCCCCCTTTTTGCTACAAATTGACAAATAAAGCTCAATCAAAGAAGAAAAAGAAATAATATGGGAGAATTAACAAGAAGAGATATCAAAACTATCATCCATGCATAAAATATTTCAATAAGTACAAAAACATGATGATATATGGTAGCAATGGAACCAAAGACAAGTATCCAAGATAACACATGTTCCATTTACAAGAAAAATAAGACTAATCATGCTCAAAATCATACACATGATATCTCCATCTAACCAAAAACGAAAATTTCTAATAAAAACTAAAAGGAAAATCTTTTTGGATTTTTTTTATTTTTCAATTTTTTAAAATTTTTTTTCTAATATTTGAACAAAAATAATGAGATAGTAATTTCAATGAATTTCTAGCATACATGAAATCCAAAAATTTCAGAAGAATTTAAGAGAATTTAAAAGCCTGAAATTTTTAGAAACCACAAATTATTCAAACAAATCAATTCTCAAGCATGCAATCACAACATGAAATTCAAATTGTAAATTTTTATAAAAATTTAGAAATTTGCCTAACAAGTTTACATGTGCGTGTGTGCAATCCAATCTCATCAAATTTCAATCAAATCACATTGACCAACTGTCTAAATTATATTAATCGAAAAACATCAAGATACAATTGTTTTGAGTAAATTTTACCAAGCAAGACGGCTTTCACTCTAAAGAGTAGACAACAATTCCCTATTTTGACTTGTTTTCTCCTTTCTTTTTACTCAATTAGCTCATCTTCAAAGTCTAGTAGGAGCTTTCGAACTAGTCTCAATAGGTAGCCTTTTCCTTAGCCAAGATTTTCAGCATTCTTTTAATTTTTCTTTTCTTTTTATTCTGAAATTTTTCAGTTTTTTTTTCCAAAGACATGCACTCTTATTATTATTATTATTATTTATTTAAAAACAATAACCTTTATAGCTTTTATGAGCAATATGACCTAGTCAACTTCACAATGATTTTCAACTAAATTTTCTCAGAGTTGTACTAATGCACATGAAAAATATGAACCCAAGAGACTCATCTATAAAAAAAATAAACAAAGCAAATTATCTTTCAACAAATAGATTACACATCAAGAACCTTTTTATTAAATAATCATGTGTCCCCAATTTGCATTCAAAAATAATTAATTCAAGAGAAATAATTATCACTTATGCATTGACAAGAAAGATATGATCATCACTTTCTCATGAAAGAAAAACAACATAAATCCTAAACTATAAGATATGGTCCAATGGAAAAGATAGATATCAAAGCATAGTCTATGACCATAAAACCTTTTTAGAATTTACTATGAGGGTTTTGCATCCAATGACCTATTGGAAACAAATTTCATAGCATCTATAGGCACATACAACCTCAAATCCCCTTTCTTCACCTAAATAGCTTGCACCTTCTACTTTTGAAGAGAATTTTTAGGAACATCAACACCATTCTTTTTCTTATGTGAATTCCTTTTAGCATGAGGATTTTTAGGTTTATTCCAATTATTTTGCTTTCTAGCATGAAACCTATTCTCTGCAAAGGAATTATAACTATGAAAATTAGAATAAGAATTATCCCTTCTCTTCTTGTAACAATAGTGTTGACTATGTCCATTTCTACCACAGTAAGAACAATAAAGTACCTTGGACACATTCTGAGCATGCATTGGCTCCACAAAAAGCTTAGTCTTAACAATAGGCACATTAAAGTTCATGGGTTTAACAAAAATAGTTTGACCCTTTTTATTAGTTGAAGCCTCATAAAAACCTAATCCAGTTTTATCACCTACATGCTTACCAACACTAATCATTTTATCAAGCTTAATTTGTCCAGAAGTAAAAGCAATCAATTTTTCTTGTGACTTTTTCAATTCAAGCTTAAGAAAATTAAATTTGGCAATAAAAGATTCTCTAGAAGAATTAGCTTGACTTACCTCGCTCTTGAGAGTTTTTACTTTTCCTTGAAGATTCTGAATTTCAGCTTTGTTCTCCTCAAGCAATTTCTATTTTTGCTTATTCTCCTTCTTCAATGCATCATTCTCCTTTTCATAAACTCTAGTTCCTCAGACTGCTTCTGACTAACCTTGAACATTGCCTCAAAGATTTTCAATGTATTACTTTCACTTGGTTCTCCATCAATTTTCTGATCATCCGAATTATAAGAACCAACCTTGCTTAATGTCCCAAATTTGGTAGAATCTCCTACACAAAAGAAGAAATATTAGCAATATCATTATCAACATGAGCAAGAAAAGTGCTAGAAGAATCTTTCTTATTTTTCTTATCTTTGAATTTATAAGAATCTTCTTTACTAAAATTTTTATTATTTCTAATTTTAAGGAGACTTCCATATCTTTTAGATAAACGAGAAAGTTCCTTATCAGAACATAAATCATCAAAAATAAGATCTAAGTAACCCTTATTCATAGGATTTTCCATTATGAATTTTTTGAAAACAAAAATAATTTTATTTTTCAAAAAAAACTTCCATAAGGATTAACTCAATGTGTAGAGGATGACTCTGATACCAATTGTTGTGAGTTTGTACGTAGCGGAATGGTTGTGGAATATAATATGGATAATTAACCTAGAAGGATGGTGAATAGATTTAACTTACTCTTTTATCTAATTTTTATGTTTTTTTAATTTTACCAAAATAAAACTAAAATCAAACCACAAAGCAAAAATAAAGTGCAAGTAAAGTAAATAAGGTTTGAGAGATGACACCAAGATTTTTAACGAGGAAACTCCAATTGGTAGAATAGACCAATTGTAACAGGGAAAATCTCGTTGGACTTTGCAGTCCTGAGATCAAAAAAATCCACTATATTTAAAGCAAAGTATATCAAACTTTGACTCAGGCTCACACCCTATCGTTCTACCAAAAACCAATTGCTGATGATCCTTAACTTTG